CCCGGCTGACAGTCCTCCTGGCAGGCTGGCCCAGAGCTGGGGCTCCCAGGACACGGGGGCATGGGGGAACAGGCACCAGACTGCCAGACAGGCCCCCATCAGGAAGTGTCACCCCGTTCTGCAGCCCCCGTAGGGCTGGGCGGTCCTGGGCCCTTGGAGCGGCCCCAACACCCACGGATGGAAGCCCGTGTCCTTCCTCTCCTGCCCTCGAGCTCGGGCCCACCGGTGTGGGGCCCTGACCAGGCGTCCAGTGCTAACTCAGTTCATCCTGCCAAGTTGCAGGGTAAATATTTGTGTGGAGGCCGAAATAGCTCCACAGTCAGGCTCTTTCTTGGTTGGGAAGCGGTCCGGGCGGAGGGAGCGGGCTCACTGCACCTGGTCCGAGACCTGCCCCCGCGCCCGTGGCCTGTGTGTGCTGTTCCTTCATCGCCCAGAGTCAGACTCACCTGAGACGCTGTGAGGAGGGTGAAAAGCGCTTTGAGAAATGACGGTGTTGAACCCCCAGGGGTGAACCTAGAATCCGAGGCTTATCCAGTTGCTCCATGAACACTCTTGGGATCAGCCAGGAGGGGGAGACAGGAAGGAAGTGGACACAAGGAAGTGGACAAGGCATGATCAGGGTCATTGCAGAAGCCCAGAGAAGCCCGGTCTGTGTGGCTCAGAGGTTGAGCGTTGACCCATGAACCAGGAGGTCACAGTTTGATTCTTGATCAGGGCACATGCCTCGGTTGAGGGATCGATCCCCAGTAGGGGGTGTGCAGGAGGCAGCTGATCAATGATTCTCTCTCATCATTGACTCCCTCTCCCCTCTTTGAAATCAATAAAAACATTTTTTTTTTTAAGAAGCCAAGAAGAGGGAAGTGTGGAGGGGAGTGGGAAGTGGAGGGGGAGCTGCTGGGGCCCTCAGGCATAGGGACCTGCCACCAGGCACATTGTGTGCTGGGGACCAGCAGGGTCCTCAGGTCTGAGGGGAGTGGGTGTGGCAGGGAGTTGACAGGTGCCCAGGCTGTGCCCTAAGGGCCCGGGGCAGGGCAGGGGTCAAGGAGAGCAGATTTTCACATCACACCTGCCCTGGCTATGGCTGGAGATGGGAGGGGTCGGGAGGCCAGGCGCTGGGCGGGTCCTGGAGGAGGCCCCAGTGCTCACACTCTGCCTGCCGCCCCCTCCCCGGCCAGGTGCACCTGATGAAGCCAGACGCAGTGCCCAAGGCGTGCTGCGCGCCCACCAAGCTGAGCGCCACCTCCGTGCTCTACTATGACAGCAGCAACAACGTCATCCTGCGCAAACACCGCAACATGGTGGTCAAGGCCTGCGGCTGCCACTGAGGCCCTGCCGGCCGCTGCAGCGCCTCCCGCCGGGGTCAGCCCCGCTCCGGAGGCTGAGGCCCTCAAATGCCACCATAGCGCTGGAGGGGCCGAAGGGAGGGCTCTCATATCTGCCCCCATTCAGCCAGGGTCTGGTCGGTCCTCTCCAGGCCCCTGCGCCCCTTCCCCAGGGTCTGTGGTTTGTCCCACCCCAACCTGTAGGGACGGCTGCACACAGCAGCCATGGTGTCAGCACAGAGGCCTATCTTAGGACTGTCCTTGGCCTTCGTGGCTCATACTGTGGACGACCCAGGCCAGTCTGAGTGTATAACTGGCTGGTTGGGCCAAGGTTCGGGGGTGGGAGCAGGGGTTGCCCCTTCCCAGGACAACATGGGCATTTCCAGGGCCTAGTTAGACACGTGCATGTCCTCAGTAGTGAGCACATCAGAGAAAGAACAAGCCAGAGGGGCTCATGCCCTGGGCCTGCCCTCCTGCCTGGAGAGGCGTGACTCCCAGAGAAGCAAGAAATCTCAGGGGCTTCCAGTTCCCTCACTGCCCCCAAGTGGGGCTCAGCACTGGACAAAGGTAACTCTTAGAAGCAAGGGCAGTGTGTGCAGCGAGCGGTGGTGCTGGCAGACTCGCGGCACAGACCTCACCACTGCCCAGCCTCTCGCCGTGGCCGTCACTGAGCACCCGGGTTCTTTCCCCGCTGAATGTGGACAGGGTCTCAAAACCTAAACACAGCCCTAACCGGTTTGGCTCGGTGGATAGAGCGTCGGCCTGCAGACTGAAGGGTCCCAGGTTCGATTCCAGTCAAGGGCATGTGCCTTGGTTGCGGGCACATCCCCAGTGGGGGGTGTGCAGGAGGCAGCTGATCGATGTTTCTCTCTCATTGATGTTTCTAACTCTCTATCCCTCTCCCTTTCTCTCTGTAAAAAAATCAATAAAATATATTTAAAAAAAAAAAAAAAAAAAACCTCAACACAAACCTTTCAGAGTTGAGACGAACAGGCTTCCGCTCCTCCCATGCTAAGGAGCAATGCCTTCCCCGGAGCAGAGGGCCTAGGCCACCTCTGGCCAGGCAAAGGGCAAGGGTGGCCACCGTCGGTGTCTGCCGGAGTCTAGAAGGTAGGAAACAGACTGGTCACCCTGCGTCCTGTTTCTTGGGGCCTGTGAGCCCAAGAAAAGGCCCCTGTCCCAGGGGAGTGACAGGCAGTAATTAGGGTGAGCTGGGTGGGAAGGTTCCCGGAAACCACTGTTCTCCTTGGAGCAGCCGAGGCAGTGGGAGTGTTTATTTGATTTCTGACTTGCTAACCCTGTAATTTACCTGCTGGAGCAGACAGTCCAGCTGCCTGAACCCTGAAATACTGTGTCGTTAATAGCAGATCCTGGGCCCACCCCAACCCACAGGCACGGCCCACAGAGGCAGAACGACCCGTGTGCCCAAGGACGCGCACCCTGGGATCCACTCTGCACCCTGAGGGCAGGCTCCGGGAGAGCAGGTCTGGGGCAGGGGTGGAGGCTGGGCCGGGCTGCAGCCCCGACCCCTGGACTGGGAGGGATTCTGGGAGTGAGTGCTGAGGAAGAGGCCCTTCCCGTGTAGACAGAGGATGGGCCCAGACTGTCTGGAAGGCAGGGAGCTCCCCATTCGCCGGGGGCTTTGAGCTCAGGCTGGCAGGGATCGGACCAGGCACTGGCTGGAATGTCAGATCTGTATTCTGGTTCCAACTCAGCCAGCCACTGACCTGCGTGCTGTCTGAACCAGTCCCCTTCCCGATCAGGCTTGTCTCCCCTCTGTGACATGAGCCCATAGGACTCTTTCATCTCCAAAGGCCTTGGAGCCAGAGGATGCGTCTGCCACCCTCCCCTCGTCTCAGAGCCAGGTGCCCAGCGGCCCAGGACATGAAACCTGGACCTACTGAACATCTCCCTCCTTCTAACACCAGGGCAGGGGGGGCCTGGAAACTGCCAACATGTCAATATTTGGTCTCTGCTGTGCCTCACACGTAACTTGGCACAGTTAAGGGCGCCAGGAAAGTGCGTGAAATGAAATGTTTTAAAGATGCAGCCTGCCTCTCCCAGCGGAACAGGAATGGGACACGAATCCCTTCATGCAGTCTTCCTGTGACTTCCAGCACCGTCAGCTACCCAGGCGGCCACCAAACGACATCCAATGGAAAAGGCCTCGGGGAAGGGAGACGTTACAGACACAAAGCTGGAGAGGTGGCAGCGCTGAGTTACCAAGGCCACCTTGTCTGTCTGGTTGCCTGGCAACCCAGGTTACATTTGAGGCTGCGCATCAGAAGCATGAATAAGGGAGGGCGCCTCAGGCCCACTGACAGCCACGTAAACGCTGACACAGGATGCAAAGGACAGGCGAGTGGGGCCGCTCTGTGAGGGAAACTGCTGTTCTCAGCACCCCTCGCAATCGGACGCAGCCCTGGCCGATGCCAGCTTATCAGGCACAGCTCTTGTCTTTCATGTTTGTGGGGAAGTGGGTAATGTACCCCGAGAAATTCCCTACAGTTTCACAGGAAAGGAGGCTGTAACCAGGAGACCTGGCAGCAAATCCCAGCTCGGCCTCTTGTTAATTTGACTACGTTATGTAACCTGCGTTAGAGGCCCCCCCTGTAGAAAGGGATTGCTCCTGCCCTTGCAAGGCCGTGATGGGGACCAGGCTGTGCACAGCGCACTTGGCACATCTGAGCATGTGTGTGCAGGGAGTAGCATCTATTAGTGGTTCCAACTCGGCCAGTGCCTGTGGGTTGGGGTGGGCCCAGGTAAACCTTCCCACCCAGCTCACCCAAATTATTATTTCAAAATAATTTGCAAATGTGGGCCTCCGTGTGTGCCTACTCCAACTCACTCTTCCGAGTCTCAGGTCGCCACCTGGGCAACACCTGGAGGTGCTGTATTCTCCTCAAAGCTGTGCTCTCCCTAAAAATCTAAACTTGGTAATTTTTGTTTTAAACTGGGTAATCTCTCGGTGTGAGGGGCGGCCTTGCACCTCCCCTGCCTGTGGAGCCCCGGCCAGCGGTGACCGGCGGTGTCCACCTGCGGCCTCATGGGAAGTTGAAGGGAATGACTCTGGGAGCCTTGAGCAACCATTTGCCTCCCTTTGCTAGGTTTTCCCTCACGTAGGAAAATATGACATGTATGCTGAGGAAAATATTATTACATGTACACTGAGGAAATGTTTGAAAATAAAAAACGATATGAACACACAAAACCCCACCACAGAGAAAACTATCATTAATGATTCCTCCAGTCTTTTTTATTGGCACATGTATGTCTTTATACATAAGATACAGATATTTTACAAAGTAAGAATCATATTCTATGCACTGCTTGGTGATCTGACTTATTCAATTTATGATATATTCTGAAATTATTAAATACTCTTTGAAAACATAATTTAAGCAGCATTCCACATCTAGACTTCTGCCTTTTTTCTCTTACAAACCAGGTCTCAGCGGTCCTCCCCAGAGGACAGGGGAAGAGACCACCCCTGCGGTCTCTGGGCTGGCCCTGCCACCTCACCTCAGGGTCAGCACCTGTACAAGGGTCATGGTGGACCCGGGGGTGACTTCTGGGGAAGCCCCTGCACAGCCCAGGGGTGAGCAGCCAGCACCCTATTGTCCCGCCCACCAGCCTCCTGGCCAGTCTGCTGTTCCCACCTTCCCAGGACACCAGGGAAGCCCAGTGAGCGATGAGGTCCCCCACAGCCTCTTCCTGGTCTCTCAGGGTTGTGAGACCAGCCCTCCCTCCTGGGGCCTGGCCAGCCTGCTCCATGTAGCAGCAGGTCACACCCAGACTGGCCATGCCGAGTTTGTCACACCAGCCCTGAAGGCTGCCATTCTCCTGGCCTCCCTGCTGCTGTGACTGACCGCCTGTGAGCGGGACGCCTAGGCCAAGCAGCAAGGGTCTCTGCTGGGAATACTGTGGGCCGTGCAGCGAGCTCCCGATGCCAGAGGTGGGCTCATCCATCCCTCTGCAGGAGCAGGCCTGGGCCACGGGGCCACGGGCCAGTGGGCCCCTCTCCTTCCCTCCCCTCCAGGCTCAACCTGATCTCAACCCAAAATGAGAACCAGCCCAGCGGTTTCTGAATGTCGAGATTTGATTCAGAGCAACTGACAGGCAGCGGGAGCAGTGGCAGCCCTGGAGGTTTCTGGGGCTCAGCCTCAGCATGAGAGGCTGTGAGGGGGCCTAGCCAGCCCCAATTGTGCAGGGTGAGGCCGGCCTCGCACAGGCTACAGACCGTGGCACCAGACTTCAATTTCCAGGGGGAGGGGAGAAGGCTTCTTTTTCTTTTTAAAATATGGACTGCTTCACGCATTTGCATGCCATCCTTGCGCAGGGGCCCTGCTAATCCTCTCTTATTGCTCCATTGTTAGTATATGTGCTGCTGAAGCGAGCACAAGGCTTGTTTCTTACGTGTCCCCAGCACCAGGCACAGGGCCTGGCAAAAGAAGGGCCCTGGTACTCTGCGGTAGCAGCTGTGATCCCTGGCTCGGTGGCTCAGTGAACCAGTAAACGGGCCCGAGACTGACTACGGGGACCCATTAGACTCAAGACCAGCAGGTGTGAGAGCAGAACTGCAGTCTGGCTAACCCAACGCGCCTGTCAGGCACCAGGAGGGGGAGAGGCCAGCGGCACTTTTGCACCTGCTCTGACCTCTGCTGCTCTGCATGGTCCCAGGAGGGTGTGCCTCGGGACAGCCTGGGAGGAGGGAGCAGCAGGGGAGGGGCAGGACAGACAGTGACGGCTGCAACCTCCGGAAATGCTGGGACCTGGCTAGCAGGCAGCCGTACAGGAACTGGGGTTTATTTTACTAGGAGGAAGATCACGCACAGCCGTCCATGGTGGGGAGGGTGGCGGCCTCACTTGGAAGAGCCAGGGGAAGGCCAGGCCGCGCCTGCAGAGGAGCTGCTCCAAGCTGAGCCCGAGGCCACGGCACAGACCCCCGTTAACAGGTGCTGGGTCCCGGGGGCTGCCGGATCCTGGATGTGCGGGGCGGTGCAGAGGAGGTGCCTCTCACACGTACTCCCCACAGTCAGAGATGATCACCTTCTCCTTCGGCTTCCCGTCCTTGCTGCCCTGCGCCTTTGCGGGCGGAACAGAAGAGAAGAAATGGGGAGGGAGGGTGAAGATTAAAGGGGCTCAGGGACACCCATCCCCCCATTCCCAGGCTGAGCAGAGCAGCCTCCTTCTGGAGCAGCCGGCCCCCTCCAGGCCACAGGGCGCCGCTCCGCTGTCCCACAGGCTGTGCACCGAGACCTGGGCAGCACCCACCTCGATCTGCCGCAAGACGTCCAGGCCTTCCGTGACCTCCCCGAACACCACGTGCTTGCCGTCCAGCCAGTCCGTCTTGTCACACGTCAGGAAGAACTGGGAGCCGTTGGTGTTCGGGCCGGAGTTGGCCATGGAGAGCAGGCCTGGGGGGGAACGAGCAGTCAGTCCCTCCACCCGGCTCCCTCAGCCAGGCCCACGCTGGGACGGACAGACCATGCGATGTCTTTCTGCCCCTCAACTGACGGCAGTGCAACGGTGAGCAGGGTTTCAATCACTTTATACGGATTTAACCCTCCATTCACTCAACAAACACTTCCTGTCTACTTTGTAACCAGACCTGTGCTGAGCCTGGGGGCACGGTCCCAGCTCCTGGGGAGCTCAGTCTATTAGAAAAGAATCACTGAGGCCTTGGCTGGTCTGGCTCAGTGGATAGAGCGTCAGCCTGTGGACTGAAGGGTCCCAGGTTTGATTCTGATCAAGGGCACATGCCCGGGTTACTGGCTCGAACCCCAGTA